ATAGGTCACAAATGAATAACTCCAAATATAATCTGAAAAACTCTCAATCAGGCATAGCCAGATTTTCCTACGGGATAAAATTAAAAAAATAATTCAGTACCTTATACACAGCCAATATATATCAAAACTTGAACCCCACGATTCATCACCTGATATAGATCATGATCTGACAGATTTATCCTTACACCATGGGGTAAATGGTAAAAATATATTGGTACTTTACCTGCAATGATATTTTTGCTATCTCAAATAACAATGATGTAGGAACTGAAGGAAAAATATAATAAATATGCATATTTATTAACAACCCATTATAGTTTCATTGTTCATTCTGAAAGTAAGTTAATATTCCTTTCAAATTAATTAACTAAAAGAGCCCGAAATCCCTTAATTCAAGAGCTTTTTACTGGAGCAAAAAATTCGAAATCGTTATAATTTCAAATTATTTAAAAACTCGAGGTCACCCTCAAATAATACTGATTATTTATATTTTTTTCTCATTTATTTAATTGATTTATTTTTCAAAATGTAATATTTGTTTTATTAGTATTAACTCCTCATTTAATCTACAATTTAACAACTATCAAATTGACTATATTTAAAAAATAAGTAAAATAAATTAGTTTTATTTATTAGATTTTTTTCCTGATAGAATTTATTTTGTTATTTTTAATATTAGAGGAAACGGTTCATAAATTGATGGGCGCCTAGGGCCATGTAAGTCCGGTCTAACGCGGCTTTTGGGAAATGGAGAAATATACTAAGGTTGATATTATGGGGGGCATATGGGCCAATCTTGATCTTTAATTTATATAAAATCTGAAGATGCACATTAAAAACGTTTTAATATATATCTTAAAGCATAGTATGGAAAGATTTAAACCATTTTTTAATAAATATTTTTATATATTTATTATTATCAATCTAATATTATAATCATATATATATATATATATACATATAAAAAAAATAGAAATTTAAATTTAATCTGACTTAGTTTTGGTATATGGTGTATATTATTTTATAAAATATTATGCAATATTTGAAAAATAAAAATAAATATTAAATCATTCGGGTTGTCTTATATAAATAATTTGTAACAAATCAATTTAGTAATTGTGCAAAATCATTATTTTTCATAGTTTAACAACCCCATTCCATCGTAAAAGGGAATCCAAGCTTGTTTGGGTAAAATATCAGCGATTTTAGTAGGTGGACCCTTAAAAATATAATCAAATATGAATTAAGATATACAATCATAAACAAACTTCACAGGGGAGACTGAGGATATATTGCGTCTGCGGTATTAAGGACTAATTTTTAACCAAATATGATACACAATGATGTATTGCATAACCATATCTTAATAAGAAGTAACCTGTAAAAGTAACGAGATAGGTTCTAAATAGCGAAAACAAAAATCGCTAAAAATTGGGAACATGGCTTATATCTCCTAGAAAATTTTTAAAGTAAATGTGAAATTAATATTAAGATTTTTGTTTTAGCGATTTAGAACGGGAACCAAAGTAACTCCTTAGAACTTCACAAGTTTTCAAAAATAAAAATTAATACATGTTTTTACCATCTATATCTTAATAAAAAAGAAAAAACCCTTTTTTTATATAATATTAATTTACATGAATAATATTAAAAATACTACAATTTTACAATTTGTAATATGACCAGAAGTTATGATTAAATATTTTTTATATGCAAAAATAATCAGATTTTTAGTTTCCGCAACAACCCTATACATAAATTTATCCTTCCCCAAATAATTTTGATAAGTATTTTATATTATCTTTTTGAATTTTATATATAATAAAAACTAATAAAAAGAAACAAAATTAATATTTTTATTAAAAATGAAAGTGTACAATTTTATCAAGATTTGCATTTTGGGGTTCGAATCATGGTCTCTATTGATAATAATTAAATCAAAATTATAAAGTGATCTAACAAATAAAAAGTTTTTTTAGAGTGAAACGATATTATTACACATTCAACATTACCTTTAAAAAAAATTTCCATCAAATATGGATAAATTAAAAATAAAAAAATATAACAATGAATCAAAACAACCTTTAGTAAAACTGGATGTGTAAAACATTTTTTGATGGAAGAACGTTTAGCTACATCGAATACTAGTAAGTGATTAATTAAAAAGTCCTTAGCCTGGTCTGACATGATATTCGATTGGGTGGGGAAAACGGAAAAATGTTTTGTACGATTAATATAGTTGCGATCAATATCGTTAAGACATTGTTCCACATCGAAACTCATAATATTGGATATGATGTAAATTAATTTTTCGTGATCAATTTCATATGGTAATAACATTGAAGATAATGCATCCTCGCCGTCATCTTTATCATAATTTCCTTTATCAACATTATCATTGGACTTTAAAGCTGTGTTGGTAAAAGTATAACGATTTTGATGAATAAAAGGTATAAGACCTCCTGTCAATAAATAAAACATCATTATACCCAGACTCCAAACGTCTGATTTTCTAAGGGGTTCCCCATTGATAAGAACTACATTATTCCCTTGAGTCTCCGTCAATATGTCATCCGCGTGAGGATATAAATCAAAATCTTTAAATTTGTTTATCGAAGTTAAAAATCTAACCATCCCCACTCCTACCTGGCTATTAAAATTGGTACTAGGATCGTGATTAATGGAAGATTGATGAAAAACTTCAATGTACGGGAAGGATTGAAAAACATAACCATTTGTATTTAAATTATTATTAATTTTATCGTTATTTGTATCAAAAGAGGACACTCTACTGGTGCTAGAAAAATTGAAAGTTGAGGTGGAGGTGTTAGAATTGGAATGAATCCTTCTAAGTAATATTTCAGGCGCAGTATAATGTGAATGACGATGATTTAAAAAAACAAAAGGTTTGTCGGGAGAACCCATTGGCGGTAATGGGAAATGGCAAGCCTGAGAGAAGCCCGTTAATTTAATATTACCGTTAAGGTGATGGAAATCGTTCTCAGAATCTATGGTATTGTATGGTATGATAAATACGTTTTCGGGCTGTTTACAATTTGGGGTTTATTTATAATTAATTAAAAATAAAGATGATAAATATTCAAACAAAGGGCAACTCGTTTATTTTGATTAATTTTAGCTTCAAAATTAAAACTTAACTAATATATAACATTAAATTAAAATTAGGTCTTACTCGTAAATCTAAATGAGCAATGTTCTGCGAATGCAAATAGTCTAGGGCCGTGCATATTTGATGAATTAAATCCCAAATTTGAGCCTCGCTATAATGTTTAACGTTGTTAAAATGATTTATAACGTTTTGACCGGTTAACCTGTTGATATGTTTTTTTAAGAAGTATGATCATATATAATATTTAAATATAAACTTTTCTAAAACGATTATATATCTTCGAGGAGTGGCATATGCACCAAAGGTGGCTACTATGTTAGGGTGAGGTTGCAATCTCCTCAATATATTGTATTCTGTAGTCACGGATTGATAGCCTCTAACTCGCCTTTCTACATACTTGCCAACACAATACTTTTCATTAGTGCCTGAGACAGGACTTTCATTAGCTTCTATGTTAATGTTTTGCTTGATACTTCGCTTGGTATGTTTATCCAGCAACAAAAATAACCTACAAGAATATCCCCTATAGAAATAATTTAAAAATTAATAAATTTTGCTTATTTAATTAATATTTCATACAGTATATATATATATAGAACTCATGAAGAATCTTTGTATAATGGAATTTTCAATATAATTAGAGTAGGAGAAAATTTAACAAACTTGACAAACATATAATAACTGTTTTTGAAAATTATGATTTATAAAATACACTAATATATGAGTTAAGGGAAAGGGAAGGAGGGGGGTATATTTTTGGATAAAATAGTATTCATTATGATTTTGATTTTTATTTTCAAATTTATAAAATCCTTCCAGATTCTATCTCTCCTTCTACTTGTGAAATATTTGATTTTCTCCATTCTCGAGTCTAGAGTGACGATCATTTATTATTGTCATATTAAATATTGGCGCTTGTGAGTAATAATATATTATTTAATAAAAATATTTTCAGCATATTTTTTAGTACCAGATTTTTATCGTCAGAGCTACAAAAAAATACCCTATTTTAACACCTCTGTGTGTAAATTGTTTATTAAAATTAGTGCCATTTTTCTTCATTTCAAATATTAAATTTAGATATAAAGTCAATTTATTATATGAATGATAGTAAATTTAATATATTACAATGGATTTCAATTTAGATATAGTATAAGGATCTTTATTTAGGATGCAATAAGTATACTTATCAGGCACTAAATATTGGCATAATAATGCTTCTAAATTTTGCGTTTAGCATAATAAAAATTTTGGCAATTTTTCTTATTTCGAATAACCCTTTTTTCTTTATTGGTGTACCTAAAGGATTGAGGAACTATTGTATTAATTAGCACTAAATATTAGCATACGTTATAGAATTAGTGCTTTATTATTTTTAAGTCGTTCAAAATTTTGTTTATAATTTTTTTATATATTGGCGATTATAGATATAAATACTAATAGGCACTTAAAAAGAACCTCATATTTACCTAAGATTTAAAAATTCGTGCTTCCAGTAGTTCCAGCAACTCGATAGATCATGATAGAAAATAAAAATAATAATAATAAAGGGGAGCAAATTAAAATAATAACAGGCCTTGGTAGGAAGCATAAAAAGACCCCCCCCCTCTTCCATATAAAATCCTGACTAATAGAAAACCTTTTAAAATAAAAATATTTAATTACAAAATACTTGTAAAACTCCTCAGACTCCGTATAGTTATCGAAAAACCCGGAAAGCCATATCTTAGGGTCGTCACCTGTAAATACTGGTAATCCACTAACTATTTCAAACCTAATAGATCCTTTATATTCAGAACATATTTGAGCTTCTTGGGCAACCGTCAGAGAAGTTATATCGGAAGAGGGATAAATAGCTGTAGTTGGCTTAACGCGTAATTTAAAATGAGGGGAATCCTTGAGCACCATATATTTATCCACGATAGCCGATTGCGTTCTAATACAAGTACAAAGATCAATCCATTTTTTGCTTTCCGAGTTAGGAGGAATTTGACTCATATCGGGACTGCTAATAATTTTTTCAAGAACTTTTTTTTTGTGGAGTGGGTGAAAATCGATTTTCATCTAAAATGATTAATAAAAATATGAGATTGAATTAATATTGTAATATTGTAACTTATAATTGACTCACAATTTATTTCACAAATTATCTTTGTTTATGTTTATGTGTATGATTAATTAATAATTATTTATTAGAATATCAATAATTACTGGAATGCTGAATTTGTATGATAAATGGTAAGGTTGCAAAAGTATTCGTGATATCAGGCGAACATCTCCAGTTTAGACGTATCCCGAGTTGAGAACTTTCTGAAATAGTGGGTTTCCATAATATAAATGGAGGTTCTAAATTTGGGAGTAAATTATATAAAAAATTGTTTATTATAAACTATATGATTATACAAGAGACCGAATAAAATGCCACCGGATTAAATTAACTAAAAATACTAATATATATACTTAATTTATAAAAATTTACAAATCAGATATATATTTTACAGTAAAACCAGATTTAACGTTTTTCAAGTTTTTTTAAGTGTGATGTCGGAGGGAAAGGTTAAAAGCGGGGATGGAAAATAGTTTTATTCTTCTATTAAAAATAAAATTTGCTATAACCATGTCTTAATTTTTTATTTATGTTATTTTAAATAATTTATGCTGTAATTGTTTCAAAGGGAATTGGAAATATGAGCAGTAAATGAAGGATAAACAATCCATTATTAATTTTCTAACATTTTACAACTGATTAAGGGTTATACATTTGACCTGTCAAATACGATTCGGTCAATTGACGTATATTTCACTGGTCAAATTCAAATAAATGTTTTTTTACGCCATTTAACTTTATTTTTGTTTATATATATAATATTATAATGAATCTATGTAATATTAAATTTCACAATATTTTTTTAATTCATTCCATAGTTGTTTCCCTCCGTAGAAGAGTTTTGTTCCGATTCATATTCAATATCATAATTTTCTTTAATTTTTAATCAATCTTAAATTAAGGTATACTCTTACCATTTTCCTGTTGTAGAAGTCTTCAATCGAGTTCTGATTTTCGTATGAATATTTCCCCAAACCGACAAATTTCTTTCTGAAGAAGAAGTTGAACTAGGAAATGTTAGTAAAATATTAACTACTTCTCTTAATGAGCAAGGTGGGCAAAATACATTCCACCATTGAGGCCGAAATCTGATTGTTTCTTATGGAAGTTACCACTTTCCACATATTTTGGCTATTACAAATTCAGTACTAGTAAGATGCTCCCCTTGATATTGGGGGTTTAATAAATAAGCAGCATTGTGAGCACATGTATTTTAGATTATTTTTTCTCTTTTCAAACATAACTTTAATTTTTTTTTCTTCAGATGGAGAAAATATAGAGTCATGGCATGATTATATTATGTGTTTTTCCAAATTAAGCATCTCCTTTTTTACGTGAGCTAGAGTACATTTATCCCCTTGCACTTTCAACAATGAGCTAGCTAAAGGATGGAGTATATCTAAAAATTTTAAATTTTTCGTCCAAAATATTTTTCATTAATATATTATTTGTAATTTCTATAGGACATATATCACATATAGCTTCTTCAACAACTGATGCTTTCAGAGTTACATATTTGTATCGCTCCAAACATTTTATTGACGATCCCATCTTGTTTGGTACTTAATGTAGATGGTATACTATGTTGATTCTTATTACGGGAAAATACATTAGCTGGTGTATGTTTATTCTTGAAAAATTTAACAATTTTTTTAATTTATTGAAATATGGTAACTGAAGTCGTTCAATCGTTCAAAATGATGAAAGAATAACTGCAATGTATGCGCTGCACAACCATAACATTGTATATAATTATAAATAGATCCAAATTTTAGAATTCTCCAGGCTGCTTTCATGTTAACGGCATTATCAGTAACTAAAGAATATACTTTTACCGGATTCAATTGATGAATTACATTTTAAAATTCCTAGGCAATATAATCTGCCGTATGATGATTTTCCTCAATAAAAAAATTTGTAGAATACTAGAACAGGCGTCATCACCATAAAATTAATAATACTCTCGTTTCTGATGTTGCACCAGCCATCTGATACAATTGATAAGTGAGGAGATTTATCTATTATATCTGCACTCACCTTCATATCTCCTGACGCTTTGTCTAAAAGATAACCAGCCAGCTGCCTTCGCCTGGGTAAAGTGTAAATAGGACGTAATTTTTTAAAAAATTCTTGGATGTAGGGATTTTCAGTGATGTGGAAAGGTAAATTGCTAGCATATACAGCCTTTGCAAACAATTGATCGAGCTCAATTTTTTCTTTGGGATTCATTCTATCTATGAAACTTGTTATGCAAGATTGAGATTTGCATTTAATAGCCTTGCTTGTAGATTGATCAGAGATAATGGAATTAAATTTTCTTGAGTCATAAGACAAAATATTGTAAATTTGATAATCATTCCCACTAATAATTCTTCGTTAGCGCTAGAAGTATTACAAATTACATTTATGTGATTTTTTGTAAAGGTTGATATTTTGAAATTTGAATAAAAGTTTTCCTTAATTATGGCAGGGCACAGTACAGCTGCTTAATAAATGCTTGATCTCTATCAACGTGAGTAATATAGGACACCTTGTAAAACCTGCATACCGCTTTAACTGATTTACCATCGCGTACTTTTTAAAAATGTTTCCAAACTTGATGCTTTGGTTTGACCATAATCGCTAATAAATTAAAATTTAACTAAAAAATGTAAAGTTAATCAATCTTAATTATTTTATAATTATCGCCAATTATTTCAATAATTTGGCTTAATAACTTTTTACCAGAATTGAATAAATTATTTGGTAAATCTGACCAGAACAAATAAAAGATAATTAATTTTTATATTCAAATGTAGCAAGTGGAAGTAAAATAAATGAGAATTAATATAATTTGTACTGGGCGAAATATTAAATAAAATTTAAATTCATTAAAAAATAAACCACGACAGCTAAATTATTATATTTATTTATTTTAGTAATAAAAAAAATTATTTTGTTTTCGATTCCTTTATGATACAAATATATTTTTAAATAAATTTTAACTTAATAAGATTGCAAATTTATTCGCCAATAATATTTTAGAGTATTTGACAATCATGCCAACCTTTAACTGATTAAATCCTATCTTTTAAATTTATTTTTAAAAATAGGCCTGGCTTGAGTTTTGTAATATTTTTAAGCTCAAATCCGGGATTTTACTAAAAAAATCAAGCCCGACCGGATTTTTAAAATTATATAATTTTAGGGCCCGTTTCGGGCCCGGTTTACAAATCTATATTCGTATTTAAACACGCTACCAATCCAATGATTTTTGTTAAAATCACTATTTTTGGTTAAATGATTTCGTATAAAAATGCAATGAACATTATATTTTTAAGAAAAAAGTAAATTTTTTTATATATGTATCTATCTACCGTCCTACCACCAATTTTTTTTATCGCATAGTAAAAATCAAAGGTCGGTTTTATCTTTAAAATCGGTTACGTCATTCGGCTCAGTCTTTATAGTCGGCCTTCGGTTCTGTCTGAATATAGAAAAAAATAATTATTTTTGATTATATATTATCTTTTTATAATTTCTTTTTTGAAAAAAGACAAGAATATAATAAAAATTAAAATTAAAAATAAACAATTAAGAGATCGGTTTACTATAGAACCATGAATAGCAATGCAATTATTATGATGATTAACCATCGTAATGGCTTGTTTGAAATAGAAGGCTTCATTACAATCGCCACTTATTTGGCTTAATTTCCTCCCTAATAATGTGATAAATTTAAGAAATTCCTCATCAAAAACACTAAGAGCATTAGTGACAAGTATTATAGTGCGCACAAATTGAGCGTTTCAAACGCAACATTTTAAATAAGTTCTTTAAAAAAAGGATTTGTCTTTTGAAAATTATATTATCGTCTGCCTTTTTATTTCTTTAATTTCTAAATTAGGATATAAGTAAGATATTTATATTACATTTTATATAATATACACAGCGAATAATAATAAAAAGTAATCAAAAAGCAAACCTATTTGCGTTTTTTTAAATGGTTGCTAACGCCAAACTCTAATTTTACCAATTTGCACGAGGTCATTTGAAATGCATTATTTGCGTTTGAAACGCTCAATTTGTGCGCACTATTATGTTGGCAATGTCTAAATATTTGTTTATTTTTAAGTGTGCGTAATCCCAAGCAATCGGAAGACCAAGGTACTGATACCATCGGGTCTTCTGTTTTTGCTAGAGCATAAACGATTGGACTCTAGATCAAATAATTTATTTGTATATTATAAATATTTGCCTTATTCGATTCGTCAAATATCAAGTTCGATTTAAAAATTAAATTTTTTTAAAAATATTATCAAAAGTGAAATATTAAATTATTAAAATAATATGATTAATATATGTGACGTAAAAAAAATAAAAAATTTAACACGGAACATGTTTACTTACGAATAATTTCTAATATTTATGCATAATTTTGAATAACACGAATAATTTCTAATAATTTGATCGTATAATTAGTATTCGATTCAAATTTTAGAATTCGTAAAATATGTATTGGATAACAAATAATTATATATATACTATTATATTAAATGATATCCATTCTAAGAAATAATTAACATGTAAAATTTAAATAAATATCAATTAAATTTGATTATTATATGGTAATAGTAAAGTTAAAGGTTATATATAAAAAATTACCTAATACGAATAGATAAAATGGAAAACAGTTATGATTTTTGAATGAACTATGCCTAGTTAATGAAATTTGGGTTAAGGGATGATCTTGGATTTTTCGTCTATTAGTAGTATTGTATATTTTTATGTTGCTGGTTATTGATTGAGAATTTATATTGGGTAAACTCTTATAATTCTTGTGTAGAGCCTTCAAATTTTTATCAAAAAATATAAAAACATTAAGCCTCGTACTTACCAGCAATGCGTGTAAGCATATATGCGAAATATATGTAATATTTATTTTATAAAAATGAAAATATAGGGTAAATATTTTAACTATGCTGGAATACATTTCTGAGACCTAAAAAAGAGAGCAAACTTAATGTTGTTTAACGCGTTTTTAAATTCTGGGATCTGTTTTTATAGAAAATGTATTCCAGTATGTGTAAAATAACTATTCTATAAATTTTAGACAATTTAGTCATAAACTATTTACACCAAAATTGCAAGGATAGCCTGAAATATTAATCAGGCAAGCACGTATTAGCATATTGCTGATAATATATCTAAGGGCAATAAATATAAATATTATACTATTTGATGACCGCTATGAATAAAATGAGTTTCGTCGAAGTATAAATAGTAACTCCCTGTATCATTGAGCTTGTATTTATCGAAATTAATGAGCAGCGAGGAATTTTGGCATGCATTATTACCGTTATCGATCTCTTTGTTATTAAAATCATTCTTAGCACTGCGAATAAAATCACATTTAAAAGATAAATCTTCTAATGGCATGAATCTAGGTAAAATATGTATGTCAATTTTTTCGTTTTGTGTAAATATTTTGTTAGATTTTCTCAAATTCTTATAGTCCTTCCATATTCGTTTAAATATTTTGCTTTGACAAGCCTTTTCACCACGTGTCTTAGGAATATTCAAATCCTTTGACACCTTGAACCAAGATAAAAATGTTAAACCTTTGTGTGAATCATCAGTAATTTCAATATTATCAATAATTTTTTGGGACTTTTTCAAATAAAACAACAAAAGAGCATAAGTCAATTGAGTGCGCATATCTAAATCGCGAAAATTTTGATCCTTGGGATGAACAATATCCAGTTTGAATTGAAAATTGTAGTCATCGTTTATTAGGCTAGTACAGAAATTGTTGTTCGATGTATTTGTGCTGACATTGTAATTGTTGTAAAGAACTATACCCACCGTTGGTTGAATATGAGCGATAGTAGAGCGTAAAAGAAAATGTACATGTGGGTCAAATGTCAAGGCCTTATAAAACATTTAAATGTATTAAATATAATAAACTTTAATTTTTGACTGTAGTATATTGAACATTCAACTGCAAAGTAGAGAAAAGGTTTTAAGCTCTGTCTGCAAAAAAATTCGTACCCCAAACTAGTGAGAAAAAAAATCATAAATTTCCATTATTATAAGCAGAGATAATCATGGCCCGGGACGTGAAAAATTTTATAAATGTGATTTGGCCCGGCCTGCAAAATATTTTTTAAGTTTTTGCCTGGGCGAGCCAAAAGATTACTAAAAAATCCCGTGCCGAGTTAAAAAAAAATGAAAATAAATTATTTTTAATCCGGGCAGGTTCGGGCGTGAAAATATTTTTTTTTCAAATTCGGGCCAGACTTAAAATTTTGACCATAATGTCAAGTTACTAAAATACTTAAAAATGAATTAGTTGCCACAATTTCATATGCTTATCAAATGATTTTAAAATTAATTAATATTACTGCCCGTTTCTTATTAAAAAACTACTAGAATGATTTGTTGTCATTTTTATATATTTAAATTAGGGCTGTGAACCTTAACCTGCAAACCCTCATGATATCATTCAACCCAAACTCTCAGAACCCTCATAATTATACTGAATCCAAACTCTTTTTTTAAATGGTTTAGAAATTCAGGATTTTTTCATATATAATTTATTTATTTTCATTATAAAAAAACTTTTCCATGGAATCATTTTTTATGATATTTTGTGCAATTATTTTTGTTTTAATGTTTTACCATTATTTAAAATTTTATATAAGGGCCATTACACGTCAAATCGATCACGATTGACCCCTTTTTAAAATTGTTAAAAAAATTTGAAATCATTTAAATAGGAAAAATGAGAAAGCTGTTTATTTTAGCTAACTAGCACATCTGGTTCTCGAGATATAGGGGCTCATAGGTACAAAGAAGAGCCACTAAAAAAATTCTAAAACCCTTTAGCTTAAAAACACAGGTAAAGCAAATGTAAACCGGAAGTTAAAGTCTCAAATTGACGCCAATCTGTATTGTTTTTTGATAGCCCTTTAGATTTTTTTTGCATACAATATATATTATATATTTTTTACTATAAATAGTTTTTGAGATATAAGCATTTTAAAAATTTTACAGATTCCAAAATGGATCTTTTTTGCAAGAGCCCATATATTTTGGGATCCAGATTTGCTAGCGGGCTAGAATAAAAGGCTTTCTTATTTTTTTTTACCTATCTAAATAATTCCAGCAATTTTTAACAATTTTAAAAGGGGTCGGCCGAAAATGTTCCCTTTTGATCGATTTGACATGAAATGACCCATAATATAAGATATAAATATATTTTCAGAAAATATTTGTTGTAGATGTTTTTAATGTATTATTTCAATTAGAGATCTGCAATAGTAGGCCCGACCCCTACCCGGCCAGAACCGGCTTCGGATCGGGCTCGGGCCTAATATTTTTAAATAAAATTCGGGCCGGATCGGGCCGGACTTTGGAAATTTTTAAAATATATTTGAATTTATTAATTTTATATTGAATTTTTAAGTAAAATAAAAATATTTGATTTTATTTATAGAACTAGATGCAATATAACATATGTCTTTTATTTTGAGTAATTATAAAAATTAATTTCTATATTTAAATAGTTCAAACCGGGCCGGTAAATTTCCCTAAAAAAATATCGGGTTCAGGTCGGGCCGGCAAAACTTTTTTAAAAAAAATTTGGGCCGGGCTTGAAAAATTAGGCCCGATGCAGATCACTAATTTCAATTATTAAATTAAACAAAATAGAGGTAAAAAAAAGGAAAGCCCCAAATCAACTAGGTAAAATCGTTTTATAAAATCTCAATCAAATCTTTTTTTAATTTGTATATGAAGAATTATAAATATATAAAATATCTTTGTTTAAATAATATTTTTTTATAGGTTCTTATTTTTCTGCGCTGAACTCTGACCCAAAGCCTGGTATGAATTTTTCACTCAACCAAGCCAGAACTTTGTCTTCATAAGATAAGTTCATAGGCTCAAAAGCCTAATTTATTTGAATTTACTAAGGGCAATAATATTTATTTTACTAATTTTATATAAGTATATAAAGAAAAAATATATAGCTTTAAAATCTATTATTAAATTTACAAAAGGAAAATTATAAAATGTAGTGAATAGAAATTTGTTAAAAACTAAAACCTTTGATTTTGATGGATAAGTGAAAGCCGATGATTGAGGGTAGTCCTTAGAATCAGATATATTTAAACCGGGATCCGAGGAAACATTAATTAACATAACATCTTTTCTGTCAATTTCGACATCATTCGCATTATATTTAACATTTATAGAATCACTCTTAATGCTTTCACTTTCTGTGGCATTATGTTTACGGCGTAATTCGTCGAGTTTTTTGTGAGCCTCGTTAAGCTTGCTTCTACTTGGCTGAGATACAGCTTTCCTGAGAGATGCCAATAAACCCATACCAGTGCTATTGGACCCACTCAAAGGCCCGCCTATACTGTTAATTTTTTTGTTAGCCATTAAAATATTTTCGTTATCATTTTTGGATTTAAGATTTCTGATTGGTAAATTGTTAGTAGTTGATTCAAGATTAGGGATTATATTATCGTTTGTAAGAGATGTATTATTAAGAATATTCACATCAGTTAATGTTGGACTCTTTTTCCGATTAAGAAGCAAGTCTTTGTACTTTTGTCTATCCTTCAAGATTGATGGGCCCTTCGATTTGCCCTTGTATTTATCAGCTGAATTAATATTAGTTGTGTTATTGCTTACCGGAGAAGGGTTTAAATTATCATTAGGAGTAGATGAGCTAGAGTGTAAATGTTTCTGATAAGCTATAGGTGACTGCAAAGCTCTTAAGAAGTCCCGCTGTAAGCTTAACATTGATTTAATCTGGTTTATCCAAATGCTCTTAGCTTCTTTACTGCTAGCCTGGCATACAAAATTTATCTCTCCGTATTCCGGAGAACGGCCTGTTAAAATAAACCTTGATTCATCGTTAACAGTATCAGGTCCATCATCCTCACCCGTTTTGACGCGTTCTGTCAAACTTAACTTGTTAGTCTGTAGGGAAATATAGATAATTGGAATATTGATTATATATAGCATAATAGTGTAGTAATATATAAGCTAATGTTGTCCATAGTGTGGTCAATATAATGTCTATAATGTAATGTATTTAAATTAGCACTTTGCATATTATTCAAATAAAGAATATCAAAATTATACTTTGATGCTATTTTTGTAAATGTATCCAAGGTTGTTAAAAGTTTTCTTTGTGCTGATCGATGAGTTAGAGCTAGCACTAGACGAAGAAGATGATGAGGTAGGTTCACTAAATAGCACTATTTGTTCAAATAAAAACACTTGCCATTCTTTTCCCTTGAAAGGTTGATTACTGGGACCGGGACTAACTAAAAGAGTGTCTTGTAACAACAGCTTTCCTTGAGCACTTAATTTTCCCTTGTGATATGGATATGTTAATATTTTAAATATAAAATATGACCAAGAAAACATATAATAAGCAATTATCTGAGATATAATAATATTAAAAATCTAAAAATAATCTGTTATCTATTGATTTTAATTGTAAAATAATATATCAAAAATAATCGAAAAATAAAAAAAACTAATTTTCTATTAAATCATTTCATTACATCCCATCCTTGTAATCGACTTAATTTCATCATATCGTTAGCCGCTTTAGGCACCACGCACATCACATCCACTGCCTTTTTAATGAGTGTTATATCCAAAAGTTTTAAATTTTCTTCACCTTGGGTCTTATTGTTATTGATATCAACCATTATAGTATTAATTTTCTCTGTCAGTTTTAAATATTCCTTAAGAAGTAACTGATATTTCATGACCCTTTGCACGGGTTTAATCAATAAATCGGGTAGTGTCAATTTTTGTCCGAGTTTTAATCTTACTTCCTTATATATTTATTTATAATATTTAAAATAAGATTATAATTAATTTAATAAAATTGTTATTATGCTCAATCAATCCATTTACAAGACTCAATTATAAAAACCAATTTTTTTTTGTGTGCACATAACTTTATAAAAATAGTTCCTAAGTAGGGAAAATTATAATTTAGTATAATTCCTACAAAATATAAAATAAATTAAATAACTTCGAAATAGGTGTCAAGGTATTCTGAAACTATATATTCGGATTTGGGTTTATTTTGGCAATATACGACGTACATTTGAAACCTTCTTTCCTATTAATGATTCACATAACGAGCAAAAATAATACATATGAGAAAATTCATAGCGTATGTAGCCAAGTGGAGGATCCCCTTATAAAATTTTCAAACTCGTAAATATTGAATTAAAAATTTATATCCCCCCAGATCTAAAAAAATAGATAAAATAAATAATGATAAAGAATATTTTTTTTAAATGTAAGTGCGAACTTTTAAAAATGATTATATACTATAATTAAATTTTTCAGAAAAAAGAAGCATATGAAACTAACATATGGTGAAAACTAAATATTATTTTAACCCGGTTAAAGGTCGGTAAAGACATCCTATCTTACACCTTCCATAACTCCCTCCCAAATTCTAGTTAGGCCTAAGATATAAAGTAATAAATATAAAGAGTAAACGTAATAAATATGAAACTTACAAATTTTACGAACGCCCAACCTGGAAGCTCTGGGTTATCTAAGCATTTTTCAATCTCTTTACAAAACACACTAAATTTGAATGGGGGAAAATTCAATATATTATTTTTCAAGAAATGAATATTTGATTAATTTTAAAATAAATTTCAATTTTATAAAATGATATCGAAAATCAAATTTAAAAAATACTTACTCTCTATGCCAATCATAGATCTGTTCAATATTGCCCCAAACCATTTTTTCTTTCTCTTGCAAAGGCTCGGGTGGACATGGGTTTTGGTCCTTAACTGCTACCATGTAACCATTAACTACAGTTCCAAGATCCTTAACATATTCCCTTTCGGTCTCAACCAACTCCATCAACACATATTTTCTTTTCTGAATAGCCTGTTCCAATTTAAGCTTTCGTGGATCACTCTTTTTTTAAAAAATTTAAAGCATTAATATTCTTTATATTAATTATTATTTTTGTGTATTAACTGATCATAAAGTCGCTTGAAAATTGAAGTGCTCTACTCGAAATTTAAAGAAATGGGATAGCTTTATAAATGGATTTGTTTTCATGCTATAATTACCATGCCCATACTTTTATTGAAAAATATTAAGAATTCTATTTTTTTTTATCTTTGATAATATTTTAATAATAAACAAGTTTTCCATTTACAAATTATAATTAAAAATATATATTAAAAAACAAATAATATATTAAAAATGAATTAAAAAATATATATGTATAAAAGAGAAATGAAATAAAAAAAATAAAATAAAAAAAGGGTACAAATCACCCTAGAGAAGAGTGAATGCTTAAAAAATTGGACAGGTAAAATCCTTCATTGGGGTCTCCTGAGATCTGCCTCATTTTTTCCTATAGTTTTGATGAAATTGAGAGCATCACTTCTGAACATGCTTAGGGTATTGGTAACGATTGGGATAAACACGGTGTTGGTGAGGCAAGCATATTTGTTTTTTTTAGGATTTCGGCCTTTTCGATGGCAGAAAATGAGAGGTTGGACTTGGCGGCAAATTCGTCACAGCCACCAAACTCGCTGATAAGGGTGGCCTGAAACCAAGATGAATTGGAAAATTTAAGGTTTAATATGTTTTCAAGAAGACCCTTAATTTGGGTTTCATGAGAAACGAGCAAGTCGCGGCATTTAAAGATCGGACAGGATCTCAGGGAATAAAGGATTTTAGGTATGTTGAAATAATTTTTTATTAAAAAAAAGATTGATGGGCTGGGAGGTAATTAAATAATGTATTTAATTTGGATAAATTGTTAAGGGATTTGCTTAAAAATGTTTCGATGGCCTTTTCACCTCCTATGGGTGATCAGAGGTGTGTCATCTCGTCTCTGTTGATGATGTGATATGTCATGTCTGAAGGGATAGAAGTGAGATTTAGGAAGCAAATCTCACATTTGGGGAGGTTGAGAGATAGTCCTGTTATATGAGAGAGATTCTCAATGATGAGGGGATGGACATGATTGAGGAGAGGTTGCTCTAGACAATGCCGTCATCAAGATACCAGGAATTTAAGGTAAGGTTAGATTTAGATTGAATTTCCTGGATTATCTTGTGGATCCCGATGCAAAAGACTGGCCTAAGGGGTCACCTTGCTGAATTCCCTCTTGAGATTGAATTTTAAATAAGTATGGCTCGAATAGCTGTGGAGGATGTAAATAGAGTATTCGGGATATTGGTTGCAAAATAGAGGAACGAAGTGTTGGCGTTTTATTGTATTAAATACATTGTTGAAATCCAGTTTTAGGACCACGTCATCATGTATACAGTTAGCTATAGTTAAACGAGCAAGGTAAGTGGAAATTTCCCTCCAGGAACACCGAACCCAAGCTCAAGTGGCGATGAAGCAATGATCTTAGAGACAGTCCTTCGGAAGAACGACCCGACAGCAATAGAGCGGATACCTCCATCCTTTTTTTGAGGTCTATAAGGGGGGCAATAAAGAGAAGAGAATAGGAATGATAGGTGATGGAAGGGATCCATTAAAAATTATATTTAGTAACCTGGTAAGGTTCTATAAAAGGGCTCTACACGAAATGTTGGGTTTTAAAATGTCTTGTATGAAGATAGCACGAATGCCATCAAGACCTCCGGAAGAGTCTCTTTTGAAAGATCTAACAGCTTTGATTGTCTCATCGATGTTGATTTCGGGAGCTATATGATCGATTTGGCTTGAGAAGACAAATTCTGAATCACATATGGGGTGTTTTAGAAACAAAGCTTCTAAGGTGGGCTCATTGTTAGAAGCTAAGGAGTCTTCAGAGGTCATAGCCCGCGGAGGGCTGAATTTATATTAAGGCTGTTTATTTTGTTTGAAACTATTTTAGCCCTGCGGGCAATGGGGAGTGGATTGGATTGGTGGGTTCGGGGTGTAGGGGTTTGTATGGAATTCGGATTGAATAGGGATATTGATGATTATATATATTTGGATAATAAAATATTTTTATTATCGGGGATTTTAAGGGTGAAATTTTCCAATTGGATAGGTTTCCCGGATTGTTTACTGTTAATAGGATTAACTTGTTGAAGGAGTCTGCAAAAGAATTACGAGCACCCCGTGGTATGCGGGATATGATGGGAAAATTGGGTAGAGATAAAAAATCATTGGCCCATGATTGTATGTTGGGAGTTAGTTGACTGGGAGACAAATCAGTAGCAACAATAGGAGAGGGAGGTGTATATAGATTTAATAGACTGAATGGAGGAGGATATGTGGGCATTATACTTGTTAGCCCTAAACCTCGACATCTGGAGGATGGGTACCATGGATTTGAAACTTTCTAGCTTTGGTTCTATTTATAGATTTATTGCATAAGGGGCATATTTCATGCATTTAAATTTTTATTTGCCAACATTTTAATTAATAAAATTCAGGGTGATCAAAGTGATAGATAAAATTTGACATATATTAATTTAGAACGATAACTTATGCAGGATGTGTATTGTAGGAAAGGTGTCAAAGGTAGACATATATATATATATAGATTAAGTAAGATGTGGACAGGGTAAATCATATTAAAAGTTGTTTTAAGAATCTGTGAAATAGTAGAGTAATTAGGGTCTTGTTGTTTTAAGAGTATCATAGACATTAGGATTATAAATCATTATCATATTTATTTATAAACAAAATACTTTAAAAAATTCTATTTAACATTATTTATATATAATTATTGGTGTATGTATATATGTCAATAATTATTATATACCAAAGGTGGATAAAAGATGCCTAGAAGCAATAATTATAAAAATATTGATGCATTATATTTTATATATAGGAATGACTAGGGCCAAATGGAAAGGATTTTGTTAAAGGTCCATAGAGCTTAGAGGCATTGTTTATAACGATTGAACAATACTAACGATAGTCAAGGTGTCCATGTAATACGAATAATAAAAAATCCTAATATTTTATGTTTTTTAATATTTAAATTTTAGTGTCACCAAAAATGTGGCATGTCAGCTAGTGTAAATTGAATCACAAACCTGGGCATACTGCGTCAAAATATTTGATCTTATGGTTTTAAAACACAAAAATAATAAATTTATACTAATTTCATATAAATAACAAATATACTGAATTTAAAATACGAGATAATTTTATGATTTAATAACAAATATTAATGGAGTACATTTCCGATAGTGAATTATTAAAATATATATAATCTATTTATAAAACTTGAGAGTAATCTCGACAAAGAGATTTTAAATTATAACCTATTTAGATAGTAGGAAAATAAAATTAACTATCAAAAATATATTAACAGAAAATCTAAAGTACATTCGGGCCATGTTAAAGACAGTTCAACCGCATTCAGGGCGAACTCTTATTGGTTGGAGCTTATATTATAAATTTCATCAAACTCATTTCTAATTTGGCTAAAACCAGGTGATGCCAATCGCTACCGTGTCTTTGTTATGTTTTTTGAGGCTTGGGGGCTATGAGAAATGACTCTATAGGTGGGATTCAGGTTTTCACTATTTGTAGGTATCATAAGAATATCTGAAACAGGAGATGAAGGCTGTAAAGTAGTAGCAGGGCTGTGGTTGTGATAGTTATGAATGAAATATATATGTCATATGCTTTCAGGATTTTAGGCATGGTGCTGTGGGATGACACGAAGCCTTCTTTTATTATTTTAACAGATTCGTTGCACAATGGGCAGTATGTTGGGCATGCTGCATATTAGGTCAAATTTTATTTTTTAAATGGTATAAGAGGAAATTATGTCGGATGTGTATATAGTTTAAAAATTGTTTGTTACGACTTTTTAGTGATGAGAATATCCAGAAAGCGATATTTTGTGAAATTTATATTTCAAAATTGTTTTTAAAACTTTTTAGTGATAAAAATATCAGAATGGCTTAATTAATTAATATATATATATAGGCAACAATTTACATGATATTTTGCAATTTAAGAACATTCGAGAAAAATATGATATAAAATTTGTAAAAAATATTTAAATAACTGTTGTAAAACAATCAGATTGAATGTTCCCGCCCCGTTCCAGAGTGCTTTTACTCCTCATTGTTGGCAGGATGGTAATATTAAAAATTTTAACTTGCAATATCATAATAAATTTTATATCATCCGATAGAGGAAGGCAAGCTTTTTAACATAATAAAATTTATGTATTTCAGTTTAATTTTGTGAAAACTAATGTTAAAAAAAATTTTGCTGAAATTTAGGGTAAAAAACACATATACTACAATAAATCATAAGTATCAGGTATAAAAATAAAAAAATTTTGTCACTCATTAGTACCATAATTATCTATATTGTAACTGAATATCACTCTAAACTTAAAATTTGCCAAATGAAATCAAGTGTTCTGATGTGCCCCCTGTTATATTTAGCCATAATCTCCCCATCGGATATTTGTGAATATTTAGTTAAATATTTTAAAGTATAACTCAATGACCTTAATAATACCAACCTTGATTCATTTATTAATAGGCAATAAAAGGTATAAATACTTTGAAGTGCGCCATTAAAGACATTTAGAAAAAATGTGAAAAGCATATAGATGAAATGCTTTTCAATAGAGTCTACATTTTAGTCAATGACATTTACCGTAGGTGACTTCAAAGTGGTACACTTTTAATAAATGAATAGTAAGTTTAGTTTAGTATTATTTTCAGGGTGAATAGAAAACTATTCCAAACTTATTTGGTTTGCTTTGTATTTTTTTTGTACCTTATTTCCATTTTGAGGGCGTCAAAAAATATATAAAAATAAATTCCTATAACATTAATAAATAATTAATTTTAATAAATCCCAACTTTTCTTTCATTTTGGTCAATTAGTTATAGTAAAAATAATGATTCAAAAGTTCATTGTCAATTTTCTCCTTTTTAAAAAATTATAGCAAGATCACTCCAATAATAAAGAGAAGATAACATTATTTTAAATTCTAAAAAAACTTGAATTGAAATTTCTATAGGAGAAATAGACGCATCTATTACAGAGCTGGAACTGTCTTTGTTAAGTGCTCTTTCGTCTAATGAAGCCGAAGACCTTCTTCTGCCTTCTAATGGAGTAGGATTGGGGGAATTTATTTCCTATAAAATTAAATATTTATAAAATAAATAAATAATTTAATTTTTAAATTAACAAATTAATATCATAGTGAAGCTCAAAGGCCAAGTTTTCTCGGTTTGACTGAACCGTTGTGGTTTAGTCTTTGGGATCGGCCAAGTGTTGTTTAAGCTTTCCAATCGATTTTCAATAAATTTTAGTCTAGACCGACAAAAAATTATACATCATTTTAATTATATATTATGTCTATTAATAATTATCAAATTCAGAGTTGTTAAAGTATCTATTTACAAGTATCTGTATCTAGATACATTTTTTTAAAGAGTATCTATATCCTATTTTAGAGGTATCTGTATCTGTTTTTAGATAATTTTAAGATACATTTGAATATACTTTTATTTAACACTTTTTATCTTAAAAATAAAATATTTTAATGCAAAATTTATTTTATCTCACAAATATAATATATATTTTAAAAATTACCAAGATTAATATAATAAAAAAATATATATAAATATTGATTAAATATTATTTTTTCCCCATTTATATCTATTGATATCAATTCAAGATTGTGAATATTTTTATCATGCAAAGGAATATATAAATCCTTGCTTAGCCATGACGCCCATTAATTATTAAAAACGGCATTGATGTACAAAATTTTAAGCTAATACATTTATTTAGAATTTTTAAAATAATTTATAGATATTCCGCTAACTTTCAATAAATAAATTTTAAGTTTAATGTAAAAATTTCTATAAGTGCTCGTTTTAAATATTTGTTCGAAAGAACTATAAAAATAGGGGTGACATTTTTTTATATTGTGACCAAATATAAAAATGTTTGTGCTCTCATAATGAGAGTTTCTGTTCGAGAACAATGCTAACCCGATATATAAGTATGATAAAAATTGTATCTGTATCTAGATACGTTTTCAGGCGATGTATCTGTATCTAGATCCATTTTTAGACGATGTATCTGGATCCATTTAAAAAGTATCTTTTAACAACTCTGATCAAATTAAATATAAAAATAATTAAATCTATCCAAGTTATATTCATGTAAATCAACTTAATTCCCCTTATACTTTTGAATTCTCGTTTTTATTAGTATATATTATTTCCTCTTACTAAATATTATTTGTCAATTGCCATTAACGACGTTAAATTTTCAATGTAAGTTTATATCTATAATGAAATGTTTAAATGTTAAATTCATAGCCCATAAGGAATCCACATGGTTGGTTAAATTATCATAAGGCCCAGAGGTGGTGACTTTTAAAAACTTATTAGGCTGTAGATGTTAATTTGATGTTTAAAATATTAATGTGTCGATATTATCTATTTTTCTATGAAGTGGTGCCTATGATAAGATCTGTTTGACTTTGTATATTAATAATAGGTTTTCCTGTTACTAGAGAATATTTGGCAATTCAAACAAACAACAACGGTCAGTTTTTGCAGAGTTGTTAAAGTAGCACGCTACTGTAGCACGCTATCTTTTTTGGTAGCGATAGCTTTTTTCCAATTATTAATTTTTTTAGCGCGCTCCTTTTTTTGAAAGTGGTTAAGTAACGCAAATTATATGAATATAACTATAAACATGAAAATTTAAATAAAATATCATTATTAATTATAATTTTTATGAATTATTATTTAATTTTGAAATTGAAATTTTCAAGTATTAATAAACCTAAATCATCTAGTGTAAATTATTTAAAATGTCATCGCAAATGAATATCCAAATCGATGTAAGTGAGACAGACAATGATGATATTAATGAAATGGAAGGTACCCTGGAAAAAAATGTTCTTGATAACAATAATACACATTTTCCATTTCCAAAATTTGAAAAATATTTTCAAATTAATATAAAAACAAAAAGTGGCTATAAATTTATTTGTTTAAAATGTAAAAAAATATATCCCAAATAAATCTAGTAGATATAACTTCAAAAAACAATTAAAGGTAATAGTCATTTTTAAATTTTAATAGTATTTATTTTATAAGAATGTGCCACCTTAACGATATAGAAAAACATAGTAATAATTTTAGTATAGGGGAGACTACATCCAAAAAGACCAATTCAATTCAAGCTAAATTGATTAATAATAATGCACATGACAATATTTCACAGATATTGAACAGTCGTTGTCGATTTTATAATTGATGCAGCTCAGCCAATGCCCTTGGTTGATAATCCATCATTTATCATGATGATATAAGTTCTATTCCCTGGTTCAACAATTTTATGCCACCAGACACTAATTATTAAGATAGCAGATAACTTTGAAGTGATGAAATATGTTCTAATAGCAGAGTTGTCATCCTATATATTGTACAACGGCAGATATTTGGACACATAACAGAAGGTAAAAACTTATTTATATTTATAAATTGATCTGATATTAATATTTTTAGAGCTTATTTGTGAATCACAGGCCATTGGCCTGACCCTAAGATTTTAAAAAGAAGATCTGTAGCATTAGCCCTCAAAAGGATAATAGGATGCCAGACATACGATTACTTGAAATAAAATTTATGATTAATCCCAATTTTAAATTAAACTAGCTATATATCAATTCCTATTATGCTATAGATCAACGTGATAGACTCATAAAGCTGAATAGTCTCATATCAAACTAAGATACCCTAGTTACAACTACAAAAAAGACTTTCACCGATAATTTTTTGAAATAAATGATACTTATATAATAGAAAATTATCTTATGCGATTTTTAATTCAAAAAATGCTCAAATGAGTATTTTTGATAATTTTTCATATATTAAATATATATATAAAATTAAATACTGCCTTGCCCTCAAGTGCTAGTGTTGAGAGATTATTTAGTTAGGCGAAACTAATACTTTCTAATCGTCGCTCTAGACTTGGGAATGATAGTATAGAAATGATTTTATTACTAAAATGCAACAAAATAAATAAAAAATGAATATTACCATAAATAGTTATTTTTATTACATAAATTATAGCCTTTTTACATCTATTATCAAAACTAAATATATTTAAATATTTATAAATGTTGATTTTTATGTAATATATACTATACAGCTACATTATAAGCAAAAAATAAATTAAATTTATTTCTAAATTTTTTTTACAAAAAGTAGCCAAAGTAGCATACTTATAAAAAATAGTAGTTAATAGCGGGCTACTTTTTTAGATGGGTAGCGATAGCGTGCTACTTTTAAAAGTAGGGTTTATCAACTCTGGTTTTTTGGTAATAACCATTTTCCATGCAGGTGACTTACTAACAAAAAAAGAAACAAAAAATGGAATAGCCGTAAATAAATGAATTTTTTTAATTTTATATAATGATATTTGGTATTATATAGGAATATTTAAACTAAGGTAAAAATGGTATTTATATGGTTCACTTTCGGCTTGACCTTTCAAAATTGGCCCCAGACCGAACCGAGACCTTTACTAATAAAACAAAAGATTTAAATTAAAATATTTTTCATATAACATAACGAACGTATAGATAAGATTAACACCCTAAAGTTGTCAATTTTACCCTAAATCGTTAATGTTATATCGAGGTCAAATTTTGTAAATTATTAAAAAATCTATAATTTATCAAATATAAAACCTCCTCAAATCAGAGACCTTCATGGGCCTTAATTTTTTGACCAAGCTCGGCCCAGGCCCGCAGTAAAAAATTTTTTGGCCCAATCCCGGCCCGTCACATATTTAATGTTAAAAAAAATTCTCAAGCCCGGCCCAAGCCCATAATATGTTTCACAAAAATTTCCCAAACCTGGCCCAAGCCCATATACAAAAATTTAATTTTTTTTATTTAATGAAAATTAACAATATTTAAATATATTTTGGCAATCATTTTGTTTACAATACTGAAATTTATTTTTATTAGAAGAAAAAAAGGCAATATTTCATTAAATTACCAACTGTTTTAAATAATCTAAATTTGATAATTTAGGCCCAAGCCCATTAAAAAAATTTTTGTAAACCAGGCCCGGCCTAACCCCGCTAGAAAATATGATATTAACCCCATACCCGGCCCATTGCGGGCCGGCCCGGCCCATGAAGGTCTCTGCCTCAAATAGCAAAAATATAATATATATGAATTAGAGATCTGTAAATCACGGCTGGCCCTTACCCGGTCCGAGTCTATTTTTAAAAAATAACTTTGGTTCGGGCTGAATCGGGCCTAATATTTTTTGAAAAATTCAGACAAGGCTGGGTGGGGTTTAAAACTTTATATAAGATATCATTACATTTTGTCAAATAAATTGATATATTTTGAAATTCTTGCAAAAAACAAGGAGCTAATATTTTTTATTTGTGAAAAAAAATTAAATTTTTCCATATTTAAATAAATTCGAGCCAGGGTGGCGGAGAAATAATTGTTATTTTTATTATGGATTTGGCTTTTCTGGATAAATAAAATTTATCGTTCGGGATAAAGCCGGGCAAATTTTCTTAAAAAATCTCGGGCCGGGCCAGGCTTGGGAAATTAGGTCTGATGCAGATCATTAATATGAATATCTTTTATCAAAGAATAGAAATAATCTAACTGTATCTGGCGTCAATTTATTAACGGTTCCTGAAGTAGGCATAGAGTCTCCTCTGAGCAGATTACCTCCTTGTTTTGAGCCACTTTGCCTAGATGAGGTACTTAGTTCAAGGCTATAATTTACGTTCCCCTGATCACTTTCATTAAGATTATCATCTTTCATCTCATCGGTAACTATAACAACCTCTTTACAATCTTTCATCTCATCAGTAACTATAACAATCTCTTTACTCTTTTCTCCGTCATTTAACTTGGAATTTGATAAGGACTTAATATCTGTCGAATCGGTTTGAGCAGTGTTTTGGGGTAATTCATTCAAAATCTCTTCCTCTGGGCTAGTAAAATCACTAGATGAACTTATGCTATTAACAGAATTAGAAAAGGTTAATTTTTTGGATAATTTAAAGATTCTTTTTTTCAAAGAAGCAGCACTCTTGCCGAAATTTTTTTCTTTGATGTCTATATCTATTTTAGGATTTTCAGGAAGAGAAGAAAGACTGGGTGTGGGTATTTGGAGAGATAAGGAAGGAATAAGTGGTGAGTTTATAAATCCATCGTTGTCTATCTTGGTGGGTTTTGTAAGAGTGTCTAGATCATCCTTTGTTATACGTTTATCTTTTTGATTGTCTATATTCGAACCTTTTTGCGATAACACAGTAGCGATTTTGCCGTTTTTTAATAGGTCTTGGTCAATTGGAAGAACATTGGTTCTATTTAATTGATTGATGCTTTGGTTGGAGGAACGATTACTATAATCGGATTTTGGTGACATCTAATGCAAATATTTTAAAGGATGTTAAAAATAAATTTAATATAGATCTTTGAAATTAATAATAATTAACAATGATATATTTTTTTGAAGTGAATAGAAAACCTTTATATAGAATATAGATTATATCCTAAAAAATGCTGTTTATAATAAATCATATACATTTTTGTAAGACGTAGGGGAACCCGCCTGTGAGTTTGATAGTAAAGAATTTTTTTCAGCATCTTGAAGTAAAAAGTCAACTGTCTCGTTTGCATTCGAATCCAAGGGGCTTGGGAATGGTATCTTTTCCGAGGATTTAACATCTATATTATTGTTGCTAGTGTTGGGTATCTTGGAACTTTCATTTCCCATTCCAACTATATGCTGTAATAATTTTTTATTGGTGAGAGATGATTTACGATTAATCAATGTTTTCCTAGTTTGGCTTTTGTCAATTAGTTCATGGGAAGGCTTGTTAAAGTGGATCCATTGGCTTTAAAAAATATATAATATTTATTAATTAAACAATATTATAGGCCCATAGAAAAAAGGAAAAGGTCCGGTCGAAAAAAGTTCCAACAAAAAAAAAAAATTTCTATTCAAAAAAGGATGAAGTTATTTATTCTATTTTTTATATATCTTCACAAATTCTTTTTATAATTTCTATATTTATATGATTTTAGACCATCATTGAAATGCCATTTTTTTGTCCTAAAAATAATCTACCAATTATAAACAATCCTTTAGAGACTATTTTGATTAGGTTACAATTGCAATGTGACGATTAATTGTTCACTTTCCAAGAAAGAGGGAATGTAGCCTTTGCTCCCCCCCTTTATGCTAGTATCTCTGAGAACCTCATAGGGAAGCCAAGCCTACCCCCCCCCTAGTAAAAAATTTAAGTAAACTCTTAAATATTTAGTACATTGAGCATCCATAAACCTTTTAAATAAAAACATGATCCTTACCATGAAATATATCACCATCATTGGCAATATATTTCTCTATTCTATGAATAAGATTGAGAAAATGATACAACTATAATAACTAATTTTAGAATAAATTAGATTATAGAAAATTAGTTGTTTATATGAAATTTTGTCTAATTACAAATTTATGTATTTTTATTTATATCTCTATTATAAATTAGATATTTATAATCACATTTTTATGAATCAAAATTTGAAAGGAAATTAAACAAATTCTATATTTAAATTTATCCAATGAGTCTATTTAATTTAAGAGTTGCTGAGTGTATTTTATTTAAAGTTGTGCTTCTTTGGAAATCAATTTCACAAACTCCACAAGCAATTTATGTTCAAATTCTGTCTAGACTACTGATTAGGCAACATTTATAAAAATTAATGATCTGTTCATTAAGTTCTGGCGAATGAGGAATTGAAAATACAGAATTATTTTCTATTTGAGGTAGAGACCTGAAAGACAGACCCTAAGCCCGGCCGTTATTTTTTTTTAAATATACCCGGGTCGGGTCTAAAAAAAATTTAAATACCCGCGGATCAAATATTTTAAATGGCTATTATTATTTATAAAAATTAAAAATAAATAAGATATATTTAAAAATTGCCTATCATATCCTTAGAAAATATTTATAGTAAAATATTATTCAAATTAATTAATCAACTTAAAATTATTTTAGGTGATATTCAATCAAATTAAATAATATTTGAAAAGTTATATTATATGGATTTCATATTTGCTGAAAAATGAGTAGTAAAATGCCGAATAGGCCTATATATATTTTTCTTTTAAACCAGGTCCATAGAAAAAGTTTACATCCGGGCTGAATATATTTTTTGTAAATATGAGCCTGACCGGACTTCCTTATGTAGGCCTCTGGTTTGAGGCTTAGTTATATTAAAATGTTCATTTATTTACATGAGATAAATCGTGATTTTTGACTTAATAGACATACATTAATATATTTATTCTCATTAAAGTCATTCTCTCTTATATATATTGTATAATCAATAGTTTGAGATAATATAGAACAAGGCATTTACACTTATTTTAATTATAGTTATAGAATTTTTCAATATTCAACTTTAATAATGTCCGATCAGAACATTCACTAAGGAAATTTTACTATGGTACCATATATTCCATGTTGATATTGAGCCCTTGATGACCATCATATTTTCCATTGACAATAAATTGATTATCTGCTCATTTGATTCAAGTTTTTTTAAATTTATCGAAAAGACACATCGAGTTAAGTTTAAGGCAAGATATGCTTCCCCACTCATAAACTGTATGCCAATACACAAATATTGAATTCTAAAAATACAAAATAATTATCGAAATATATGTATGACCGCTTCAAAAAAACAATAAGTGAAAGTTTTAACAAAAGAAAATAAGTTTTCAAGGGCCCTAAAATTTAAAAAAATAAATTCAGCACTAGGAACAAGTAATAAACATCTGCAGATCATTACGATATCTATTCATTCAATGTCAAAAATATCTCTAATTTTTAAGCTCCTTTATTTTATTAATCCATTAAGTTTTTTCTAGTTTTAATGGTAGCTATATAGGTCAGCATTTCGATACCATTCATTTTCATCATTTGTAATAAATAGGATAAATATAATTACATTATCTAAGTTATTGCTAAATATTTGAATTTAATGCATAAACATTAAAATAGACAATAAAATAAATATTTTGAGTTTCAGATTTCTTTCTTATAGGGTTTTAAAAATTCGGGTTGTATGACTAGACCTAAACAATTTTAACGGATCGCGGGCGGGCTCGCGTCGTTTTTATTTTGTAGGTTTCTGGCTGATATAAGGGTAGCCAGTATTATTGGCTCTTAAGAGAGTCTTCCCCAATAAATCTTATTGAGAATTTAGACCCCTTTTTTTTGCAAACTTGGCCGGGTTACATTTTTTTAAAATAATTATTTACAATACATTTTTTGAAATGCTTTTTTTCTAAGAAATTTCAATTATAATCCTTATCTTATAAAACATTTGTTCATATTTATTTTTTTAAATTATTGTTTATATAATTATATATATTGTGGTGGGTTACCAATCAATTGCGTCATAAAAATCTCGGGAAGGGGGGGGGGGATCTCTTGGTATACGTTCATAGTATCCAATTTATAATTGAATGAATTTATCAGAGTTTGAAAAAAAATCTTCAAATAATTTTGAGCAAAAATTGATTTTTTTTAAAAAACGAAATTTTTCGAGTAAATTATCCTAAAAATTCCACTTGTGTGAGAGATAGGGGAAGGGGGTTATTCGCTTTAAATCATATTAGATATAAGAAAACTAAAGAGGGAAAAATCTTCCCATGCTTATTAATAAATTGGATGGTGACTTTAAAAGTAAAGTATATCACATGCCTCTAAAAAAATTCTGGACAGACCCCTCATCATAGCTGGAGCCACAATGTGGAGTGGAGCTGCACCTGCGTCCTGTTTGTTATGCGACTTAAGATTAAAAAAATGAAATTTTTTGAATGATATTAAAAAGCGATGAAAAGTTTTAATTTTAATCAACAATATTTTAAATATATCTCCTATGAAACATATGATAAAGCAAAATCAGGGGGAACATTTTAAAACAATTTAACTTACCACTTTTTATTTATTGAATTTTGTAAAAAATAAAAACTTCTGTTCACATAGATTTTTCTTAAACATTTAACAAAAAGCTAGTAAATGGAAAGTATTCGCACCAAAAGTTTTCTATTTTACTTTACTTTACTTTAAGGGATTGTGCATATATAATTAACTAATACTACAGGCAAATAAGTCGGTACTAAATATTGTAAGTGGTATTATATACTAAGAAAAACCCAACGCTTTTATACGAATTTAAAAGTTGCATAGAAAACTTATTAAATTATATTCTTGTCTATATGGTAATTGAGGGTAATAGTCTCCAATTACTTATTGCTAAATTATTAATCTGACTTGTGATATTGAACTATGGTGCAGGGGCGTCACAGGGAACTCAAAAAATTTTTAAAATTATTTTCAAAATTACTTGTTTTTTTAGCTATAACATTATCTCTAAAATTACCTTTTTTTCCAGTGTTATATATAAAATTTAAACTTTTGAGGGGCTCTTCAAATCCTCCCCCCCTCCCCCCTAAATAGGAGCTACTTCGCTACTTTCAATTTTATATGGTTAAAATTTATTAATATATTCTAAAATCACAATCTTTTATTTAATTTAATTTTAAAATTGAAGTTTATATTTATAAATCTGCATTAAAAATTTAGTTTACAAAATAATTTAAATCACAATCTTTTATTTAATTTAATTTTGAAATTGAAGTTTATATTTAAAAATCTGCATTATAAATTTAGTTTACAAAATAATTTAAAATTTAAAATGTCGAAGATAGAGATTAATATTGAAAATAATCTTGGCACCGATCATATCGACAAAGTGATATCCCTGGAATAATATGGAATTTTTTTTTCCTGAATTCGCAAACTCGATAAAATTATTAACACAGGTTATAAATTTCATTGTGAGATGTATCGGAAGATTTTATCATCAAACAGATTAGTAGCTTCAACAAGGAAACATTTAAAAGTAATATATCAAACAAATTTAATATCATTTCCCTAATCTTTAAAATAAAATTTGAATCAAAGCCATATCTATAATAATTTTGGAGCTAGATGAGTTTATGTAAAAGTTCTGGTCCAGTCCAAACATGATATATTTCAACTGGCCATAAGATATTAATCAAGAATTATATTAAAAATTACAATAAATAATTAATATTAATTTCATTTTATCATCAGACTTATCTATTTAATTATATTATTTTATAAATTATTATCTGGATGTTAAACATGCTTAAAATTAACCACTCAGCTATTTATATATTTATAAACTTTATCAAGACATGCTAGTTTCAATCTTTTCACATTTTAACCAATTTTAGAGAAATTTGTTAGATAGATAAAAAGTTAAAGCCACTATGATTTTAAGAGTCAATCGAGTTGGTGATATTATAATCATCCTATCTGCAAACAGCCATCTACTTATCCCCTACATAATTTTTATTCTAACTATTACTATTATAATTTCAGACTAACCCTAGCCAGATCAAAAACCCTACCTAATATGAATGATTTTTACTGCATGCCTGTTAGTGTTGGCGATTATTTAGTCATAGCTTATTCGGATAACAGTATGGAAATGTTATTATTACAAAAATGCAATAAGAAATAAATATATATTTATTTATATTTGAATTATTAATAATATTTTTTATTTGTGGAAGTAAAAAATATTTTAAAAAACATACTAAAGTAGCGTAAAAAGTAACTAATAGCGCGCTACCTATTTTTGTAAAATAGCGTTAGCGATAGTACGCTATTTTAAATTTTTAGAAACATTGAGCTACTGCTATGGTGATTATATTTTGTAATTGAGTAACAACGTTGCGGTGGCTGTAGTAACAGGTAAAGTTGAAAAATAGAAAGAGTAGGGGAGACCG